ACTCACCAAGTTGTTAAAGAGCATTTTCACGTTGACATTAGAGCAGGATGAAAGTAGTTGCACATACACATGTAAGACCACACAATGATAGTGTTAAAACATCTGATAAAGCAAATGGGTGCACCTACACCACAGGAATGTTGTTTTTTGTACTTTTATACATGAATAGTCAGAGGCAGCTGGCAGCCAAATTAGGCACAAGGCATCCTTTGGTGTCTATGTCTTGACCCACCAGCCGTGATAATACTGTGCACAAAGAAATAATGGTGCTCTTTTCAAGAGCTACAAACAATGAACTTTGTTTCTCGTGATGATTTGTTTCCCTTCCATTCATATACTCTTATTTTCTTCAGCCTGTCAGGGAAATGTATATGCTTTACAGCTATTCTATTTAACCTTTTTAAACATGTATATCTCAGACATATGACTCATGGCTCCTGGGCTACAACTCATGATCGTAATTGATAAAAGTAAGGTCTCCATACATCTGGGACTATAGAATTTCTGCAGATGCACAGGAGCAGAGTAAAAATGAAACCCTATTGTCTATCAGTGAGCACTTTTTCCATGTGTTTATTGGAATCTTAGTGCATCTTGCCAAGACACTGATCAAATAAATGTTTGCATGAGCACAAATTGTTTTATGTTCTGTACAGCTGACAATTTCAGTTACTTAACAAGGCATAGAAGCATTTTGTTAATTAACTGTGGTGTTGTAGTGGAAGTGCAAAATGGATTAGATTACACAAATCAAATTTCATGTGCTCGAAGCTTTTTGTACAGATTGTTGTCAGATTGATGTTTAAATGTGTCAAGTTAGTTATTTGCTGTCTGATAAAGACTTCTGCTTACCAAATAAATATTTTAAAACTTTTTCTACACCGGAAAATGCAATTTGTTTTGTTATCGATATACAATTTTTGTCTGCAATTAAAATCAGCTGTTAATTTCCCCAGATGTCACTGTAACATATGGTATTTTCTTATTAAGCAAAGTGCAGACTTATAAAGAACCCCCTTGTGGATTCTAACATTTATTTGAAATTTATAAATCTATCTATCAGCAAAGTATTTTTAGCTTACCTTTTTATCTGCCCGCAATAAAAGGCTGAGTACTGTTGACACCCCACTGAGGAGGGGGGGGGGGTGTGGACACCCAACTTTATGAACTTCATAACTTAGGATTAGGGGACCTATTACTGTAGTAGAGGTACAAGAAGCCATTAAATCCTTAAACACAGGTAAATCGCCGGGCCCTGACGGTTACTCTGCAGAATACTATAAAGTCAATTCTGATCTTATGGCACCGTTGTTGAAAGATATGTATAATGAAGCCTTTTCAAAATGTCAATTACCCAAGACTTTGTCCGAAGCTACTATTTGTTTAATCTTGAAAAAGGACAAGGATCCTCTGTTGTGCAGCAGTTACAGACCAATTTCTCTTTTAAATATTGATTTTAAAATACTATCTAAAATCCTCGCACTTAGGCTACAACGTGTTCTGTCACAAATTATCGCCTCTGACCAGACGGGATTTATGGCCGGCAGGCACTCATATGACAATTCAAGACGCCTCTTGAATATTATCCATACATCGTGCAACTCAATTCCAGAGGTTGTGGTATCTCTTGACGCGGAGAAAGCTTTCGACCGCGTCGAGTGGAGCTTCCTCTATGAGGTGATGGATAGGTTTGGCTTAGGGGCTGACTTTATTCTCTGGGTTAAGCTACTATATTCCTCGCCATCCACCTGTATTCGTACTAACAACAACTTGTCTTTGCCTT